CAACGCACAGCAATTGCAAATTTCCTTTATGGATAGCTTTCATACTGTCCGATATTTCATCGTAGGATCAATATATTAGTCGTTAGCACATTAGCACCAGTCAAAAACCACTAAAACAGACAGCATGAAAGAATATGTTTGAAAATACTGTTCCGCTGAACTCAAAGTTATAAATGAATTTATTTATTGAACCCTACACGTTAACGCGTTTGCACATACAACTGGAAGGACAAGTGTTTATGAGGTAACATCAAAGTTAGTTGGAATTATTTGAACTATGTGTAACTCGATAATTCGCATCAATTTTGACAATACTAAGTCACGCAGGTAAACGTGAAGATAATAAAACACATATTTGTCGGCGTACAGCGTCAAAACATTAAGAAGTCATCTATTCTACAGATTCGAAACATCCGAGTAATCCGTTTACAGAAACAAACCTGTCGTGCATGTTCACACGAATCCATTATATATACACCAATATTTGCTTCATCATATTATGTTGAACTCAGTCAGTTGTGTTTTTTTCGTGATAAATCGTGATGTATGACTACCACTGATTTAGGCTATCAGACCGTGATCTTTCAGTTCTTATGTAGTAAATTATTTCTTTCAGAAATCACCTGTTCGAATGATTCAGAATATTAGATTGTATCTTTGATTCTTTCGATTGTTCCACAAATCATTCGTAATTTCTGTTATTCCTCAACCATCCGAGTATTTAAGTATGCTGCACTAGAAGTAAAAGGTTCCGATTAAGTCGAACGACAGAGAGGTCTCATCATATTTTCTAATAGTGGTTCTGCACGATCTGCTATCATGTACGGAATACACTTCTTTTAGATATGCAGATGATTTTATAATATGTACACCAATTTTCTCTTGGTCTGATCCTTCCGAACTCATTGAGTTCTCGATAGTGATTTGATAATGGACGTGTTTTTTCCAGTTGCTCGTTCATCTTTTTATATAATTTATCTGTCTATCATATTTCCTATTACACTTTCGCCTTGTATTTCAGAAAATACTTTACCATATTACGGAAATTTCTGAAGGTAGCTGCACTTTTATGTATCTTGAATCTTTTAACAGTAATTGCAATATGGTTACAAACAACTAATAATAAGTTTAATGTTATCAGATAATACCATCAGTTATATTCACATGTATCTTTCATTAAATGTACTGGTAGAACAAGCCACAGATTCATTGAGATAAATATACGTGAACCGTAACACAAAAGCTATAAAATATCACACATTAGGCAGAAAAACAATGCAAATAACCCGTTCAAAAATTATTTCCAAATGCACTGTCTTTGAAAATAATATCTGAAGTAGTAGAACTATTATTAGGAGTGGTAGTAGTACACCTGATTACTCTTGTCGTTGCATTCATGGCAGCAGTAAAGTCGCAGTTTTATAAGTTGGTAGCATATATAATATACTGCCATCAAACTTTTTATCATTATTTGGCAAAGTATTAATATGTGTGGTACAACATTCATTAGAAATAGTGCGATCTAAAGAAAACAGATAAGATTTCTAACTAATTAATCCGGTGCAAATATTCACGATAACATTGTTCACTCTATTAGATAATCAAAGTTCACGCAAGTCAATGTAACTTAGTTTAACTCATCAATACAGGAAAACTCAATACACATTCTATGCATTTATGTCAGTCTGTTGTTTTTTCTCATCTAAGGTGAAATCAGATTATGATCGATAAATCAAACACAAATCCTCAAGATATCTAGAAATACACATACACAGTTTTACAAAATCACACATTATCATCATGATTGCAAGATAAATGGATGAACAATAGAAATGAGCACAGATTAGGTTCTTCTATGTGAACGCCCTACATACTTTAGAAGAAGTAATTACACAAAACTTTCAAAGACTAATTATAGAGTAAATTTCTCGTAAACAACTTTCATTGTTTTTTATCATCGTGAAAAATATCAGTTTAGTGGCTGTTTGTAATCTGGCAAAACCAACTAATTTATTAGCTAATAAGTAAAGTCAATCTTATGAAAAATGAAGGTAATCTGTTTGTTTTGTTGAAAAAGATAATCGTTCAAACCTTGTTCAAGACTCTTTGCAGCTTAGCTGGGATCAGCTTTTTTATTTTGATTATGAAAATTCAACATCAAATAAGGTGGTAGTTGAAGGAGTATTCGTTCGATTGCCATGTCTATCGAAAATCGATCAATCATTTACAGAAAAAATAAGTTATCTTTGATAAATTTATGTATCTGTGTTCTGTTTATTTATTAGCCTCTTGAAATTACTCTTGTAGACTCTTATTGTTTTCTGCTGTTAGCGAGCCCGAATAAAAATTTAGGATAAGGTATAAATTGAACGAACTCATCTCATTGAACAGCTTCTCTTCAAAAATACGCTGACTGAAAAAATAATTCAAACAATCTAGGCTCTGCACTGAGAGTTAGGACATCTCCATTCAGAAGAGTCTTATGATAAAAGCTGATTTCTACTAGAAATCACGAGATTCGTGTCCCATCTGGCAACCGGAGAATCAATAATTAAGGTACATGGAATGTTCGCTTTATGTGTAAGACCAGGCTGGTCATCCAAAATGTTACAGCCAGGAAATGATACAACTTCAAATTGCCTGTTATCACTGTAACACTTAGAATGTTTGTTCGACTTCATAGAATAGTTTTAGGAATGTTGCTGTTAGAATTAATCACACAAATATTTAGAAGACAAAATAATCAGTAAATTCCTACTAACTAACAAAATATTTAACATCTTTCATCTTTATTCATTAATGTTCTTCCATTGCTATCCACATTGTCTACGACAGCTTCTCGGATGATGTCTCTCACTGTTTGCCAATGATCATCTACTGTCATCCTCCACCACTCATGTGACCATGAGGCATATAACAAGATCACCATCATACGCGTATAACTTCCACTAGTATAGCTTATATACGGCTCGTTTACTTCCTGTATCAGTATTTCGTTTATGATCGTGTCAACCAGACTGTACCATGCTCCTAACTTCCTACTGGTTCATGGACTTGAACATCACTGACGAGGAGCAGATCAGTTGTAATCAGGTAGTCCAGGTTTCAGGACTTTCCTTCTTTAGTCCATCTACTGGCACAGCATACGTGCTCAGAATGCCCAGAGCTGCTAATGGCTGAGCCAAGTCGTCTTTGGAACCAAACAGTGAGAGTGTTATACGCTGATTCCTCAGATTCGGAGGTGGTGTATTGAAATCTTCAGCATACAGTATTTGATCAAACCCCAGGAGTGACAGTTGCAGTGTCGCCCTAGTTTGTTTGTCTTTCTGGTACTTAATACATGAGGAAAGACGATCAATCCCTCCGATCAAGTATCTTGTGCCAGTGATTTGGAGACAATACCAGCATGATAGTGTCATCTCAGTTGGTTCGGTGTCATATAGTCGCTCGGCTTTTAAGTGATTGTTGATATATCTGTTTACTCCTCCTGTTTGGTGTACCCGATTGCTTCAGTAGAGTGTCGTGACTAGCATGATCACTTCGTCGTCTGCAATGCCATAGGGTATCCATGGTAACGATCTTCAGATCCATCTGACAGCACATGTACCTTATTTCTAATAGAATACACGTTGGTCCTCGTACGTTTCTTTTTTGCACTTGATGCACCCCCGCCTCAACGGCCTTGGTCAGATTTTCGAGCAAGATATTCGAACCGGGTTGTCTAGTTCCGTTTGAACAGGCCTTTGCCGGTTTTTCATCAGAAGAGCTTTCCATTTCGAGGCGTTCTGACGTTTGAAAAAGCAGCATAGTTTTGGTCAGGGTGTTGCACATTCCAACGATTGCGCAGTATTTATCTCACTGTCATTTGTCAAAAGCGTCCCTATCATCTAGTAAGCTACCTTCTGATACTGAGAAATAATCACACAAATATTTAAAAGACGAAACAATCAGTACATTCCTACTGACTATCTAACATCCTTTTTCTTCATTCATCACTGCTGGCAAAATTGATTTCATTCTCTCTTTACAATCGAACCTGATCAATGAATCTTTAGCTTATACGACAAGCTAAGACGATGAGAAAGACAGTAATATATTTATTTTCCTATAAACTGATAAATATAAAAATAATTGATTCTTTTTTATCATCAGGTTATAAACATGCAATCGTCATTTAATTCATGCCTATTGGTGATTCAACTAGGTTGATTTTCGAATTTCACTTATCAACTTCCAGCTTATTACATGGTGGAAGATGGTGTAGTATTCATTAGATTTCAAAATATTTCTAGTTCACCATCTCAGATACCGGTTTTCACAGATTCGCACTAAACAACAATTGAAATTGTTTAAAGAGAATTGTTTAAAGAGAAAATAGAAACAAATACAAACAATCAATAAAAATCAGATCATCGGTTGACTTGAAGTTAATTCATACCAGAAGTGTTTTCTGGATGACAAAATCAATTTCAATCACTGTCTATATGATAAGCAGTAATTCTGAAATCTATCATTCACACCACAATGAAAGAAGTCTGGATATGGTGCATATTTCACCACCAAATGTTTACCAAATATTGTTAACCAACGTGTTTCATGATGGTGTTTTGCTCTTTTCATTGATCTGTAACTTTACTACGTAGAGCTAAATTTATCTCTATTCACCTAATCAAATAATGTCATCTTATTCTCACAAATTCAATTTCCCCCCTTGACAATCACCTACTAGTACACACACAACCTCTCCCACGCAAAGTGTAACCGGTTTTCACAGTAATATCCAATCATTTTGAAGAGATTTGGAGTTGACTGACTGATAGTTGTTCATTTTACTTAATAGAATATCATTTTATTTTGTCCAAACACAACACTTATTTCACGGTTTGAAAAGTATATAAATAGAAACAAATAAATGATGAAAGATTGAAGCAACAACTGCGCTATCCAAACAACTTGGTTGTCTAAAGCTTCTTTACACAACGAATTCATATCGGAACAGAATGAAGAGACCAGATTCTGTTGTGTTGTTTCTTAACAACCAAGAAGAACAACAGCAGAGCGTCAACAAAGCAAATGCTGTTGAGGAAGAAGGTAATACTGAATATTCAGAGGAGTTCGACATGATTTCCACAGAAAAAAAGAGCGCAATCAATCATACGTCAAAGTCAATCGTGAATGAATCCAAGTTAGAGGGTCGTCTACTCACACGTGAAGATTTAATAAACTTAGACAAAAATGAACCTCATTGGAAATATATTCGAATTGGAACGTTAATTGCGTTTGCGACTGTATTCTTCGGCCTTTTAGCAGCATGTATTGCATACATGAGTTTTGGGCCGAAATGTCCATCTGTGCCCAAATTACCATTCTGGAAATCGTCAGTCGGTTACTGGTTAGATGTATTTGCGTTTAAAGATTCGTCTGGCGATTTAGTTGGTGACCTCAAAGGTAATGGATTTTAGTGTATATTTACTCTCATTCAAATGGTTTATCTGTTTAGGTCTCATATCTGAAGTTGACTATATCAAAAGTGTGATCGGTGCCGGATTTGTGATTTTGGGTCCCATTACAAAAGGCTTTTACACTAATTCACACGATATGCTAGGATTGGTTGAAGATTATGAGCGATTAGATGACGCTGTTGGCACAATGGGGGATTTTCGTGTCCTTTTAAAAACATTTCATAAGAAGGGTGTGAAAGTTGTCGTGACATTCAACTTCAATGCCATATCCATCAATCATAAGTGGATTGGAGAAAACAAAGTCAAGTTGAAGTCATTCGAAGATCCCTACAACAATAAGGTGAAATCATTGTGTTCATTCCTTAATTTCCTTATATTTTATTTACATTTAGAAATCACGTTACGGAAAACCAATCGATGTAGATATCGATGGCAAGAAATACTATTCTGTTTTCGGATCACCTAATGTTGATCTAGATTTGACTGATCCTGATACTCAGAAACAGATAATTGTAAGTTTCAGTGAATACTTTTGCAACAGTTGTGTTCATTAGAATGTGATCAACATGTGGATGAAAGAAGGAATTGATGGAATTCTTTTGGATAACGCTGCATTTTTTGTTGAAGAAGAAGAAAATGTGCAAAACAAAGTCAGTTGATGGAATTTTAATTATTAATCACATTTTTGTTTATTTGTCTTCTCCTAATCCATGATTCCTACTTTCTTTCATATCTAGTCTGATTCCGGATGGTTTGGATACTGTCCAAATTCTCAGTTGTACAGAAACGGGAGTGTAGAATTTGTCAAAGCCGTTAAACAAGAAATGGTCAAGTGGATTGAAGAAAGTGGCAAAGATAAGTGAGTCTCTCCATGATAATTACCGTGAAATAATTTTGTCCACTGGAACTCATTGGTTATTGATAATTTGCTGATCACTGACGAAATCATACTTTTCATTTTAACTACCACAACACAATGACAGTTTCAAATGTATACATCGCTCTATTGTTTCGGTCGATTTGAAGAGTTTAATGAGTATAGTGAAATTATTGAGAAGCATCATAGAGTAGGTAGCTAAGTAAACAAGAAGCCTATGCTTAAGAATATAGTTGAGACTTATCCAGTGGATTGCTGGTGTTTACGTTACACTAGGGCATCGGAGGAGCTTACAGTGCAATAAAACTGGAACAGTTAATGTTTTCCGCACCTCACGAGCTGACCCCGTAATTGAAAGATAAGTTGACCAGACAATACACTTGTTTTTCTTTCTACTGATATAACCGTTGGTGTAGAACAATAAACATTGATAGATATTCCAGGAACTATCATCACGATGCTTGCTACCACCTTCATCTTATCTGAGCAAAGATGTAGCTAAAACTGTAGATAGTACTGCATTAGTGCATTTATTGATAATGGATCGAAGTGCCAACATGAAGTTGTTATTTACCATGATGAATCATTCAAATAGTTATCAGCGAAAAATATCTGGCTGTAAGTTCGCGTCGGCTAAAAGTCATGAACTGGTTCCAACTTGAACTCTGCAACGTTCAGTCTTTTGAGTAGATTATTGAGCTCTAGACCGTTGGGTCATCGAGCAACCATCTCTGTCGATCCCTGATTTCAGTGCATCTATGAATTCGTGCAATCCTTGATCCTCTGTGTGTGGCGATAATCTGTGATGCCTAACGTCTCACATCAACAAAATTTTTCATATTAAAGCTGGTCACAAGTGTGTACATGATAGGGATTTGTGCACATTATATTGTTAAAAGGTTTAGGACATCAATTAAAATTGGTAGTTATTTAATCTGACGTACACCTATTGAAACGCATATTTTTTTCATTTATTCATCTGGAAGTTCTTGAACGTTTAGTGGTTTATTAAAACATCGAATAATGAGGACTGAGAATACTTTCCTTCCAACGTTCACGTTAAAAAAATGAGTTATTAAAACGCTTATGACTTCCTTCATTGACATCAAATTTACATTTCCTTAATGTCATGCAGTTTATGCAAATAATCCTAAACACACTTATTTTGCATACACAAATCCTTCTACAGATTATTGGCTGTCAACTCAGGTGATACAGGTTGTGGTGTGGATGATTATCCTGATCCCATGTTGATGTTTAGAGATGTAGCAGATTTGATAATCGGTCGTGAATTCGTGAACCAACGAGGTGATAATGGACGCTTTGTAGCATTTGCGAAGACTAACATAGAGAAATTTTCTTCATATTCAGACGCTGATATGGAGAAACTAGTATTGACGACGAGTACATCGGATACTCCAACATATTCAAGTCTTGTTGAGCTTGCATCAACATTGTTACTACCAGGTATGCAAATGATATACTGACATCGCTTAATATTATTCACACTACTCATCACGTCACTGCACAAACCCTTATCAATGGCATAGATTGGTAACATTTTAGATTGACAAGAGACTGTATCAACAGAGTTTGTGTGAAGTAGGAAACTGTTAGTTGTGAAGTTTGTGCTTCAAGTGAAATTCGACAAAATAACGACTACTTGAACAACAAGAAGTCATAACTAATGATTATCAGAATACAGTTTCATACTGTCTTCAGATCTATGTACAAACTATCTGTTTTACGTCTTCTGAATAGATATTTCGGCAGACATCATCTGCAACATCAACATCATGATGAAAGACTTTCATATGTACTATTAGTACCTTGTTCTGTGTACAAACCGGTTGTATTGAATATTTCATCATAAAATATAGTAGGAATTGTTTGGCCTGTAAACACGCAAAAGTCAGTCACTGAATCGATTACATAAGGAATAATGTTTACTTTGTTCAACTATTCATTTGTATATTTTTCACTCATATTCGATTACATCTGTAGGAATACCAATCATTTATTATGGAACTGAAATTGATATCGATGGCTTGCAGACAACACAAATTCCAGAAAATTTGTATCCAAAAGGGAAGCCTTATAATAATGAACTTGTCGATTGGCCTCTGTTTTCGCATTTGCCAATGCCATGGGATTTAAGCGGGAGAAGGTTTTCGGCAACAATAAATGACAGCAGTTTTACTGACTACTTGGATCAGTATGATCATTTGTCTGTTGTTGAAGTATGTTATATTGAAGTGACGTTTATTCATTTGTGCCTTCAATACCTGTATCCTTCAAATGCACAAAATGTTTATGTTTTCAAAATCAGTCACCTTATCTAAGTGATTGACAGATTTCATGGAACATTTGTTACTTACTGAATCATGGAATGTGGCGATGCCTAACTAAACAGTCTGTACTTTCAATCTGATGACAAAGAATTGCAGTAAACACAGTGCTGTATTATATTTAGCTGTTTAGTATTCATACGCTTACTGCGCTGCTTCATTCTTTAAAGGTTCAGATTAAGTAACTGTTAATAACGTTAGTATTTGGCTAATCGAATAATAACCTCTTATGTATTTACGGACAGTGGTCATAGTATTCGAGGTCTACTAACTAGTAATTACGACGAAAATTGTATACTGTGAAATAGGAAAGTCGCATGAAAAATGCAATTTCACGTATTGTGATTGATTGTACTACACAAAATCAGTAGAAAGAACAGAATACAATCACTATAGGCATCAATAAACTCCCGGAAATGACACTTGAATTAACTTTACGAAGCAAACTCAATTCATATCTCTCTACAACTTGAAATGATTGATGAAATAGTGCTGATCTTTGAAAAATAAGTAAGTGGTAAACGACTTGATCTTCAATATTTTGATCTTTCTCTTTTATAAATGTAGTTCTGTATTTAGTTACGCACAAGTCTTGTTTAGTAACGAACATGTTCCAGAAAATCGTAGAATTCGTTCACTTTATTAAGCATGCCAGATAACTGAACTTATTTTGAATGACAGAAATGGTTGATTTGTATAGTACTGTTGAAATACTAACACTTGTACAAATCGCATCGAATTCGACTAACTATTTTCATCCTTTCAAGGAACAACTTGCTGAGGGAAACAATCAATCAACTCTTCGTCTCGTGCAGAAATTGGTGGCTTTACGTCAGAAACCTAGTTTGAAATGGGGGGCAATGGAGAAATTAAATCTTGCTGAAGTAAGTGATTGCGAAGCTTAAAAACTGAACAAAATTATTCTTTCTAAGTAGATTTAACACTCACTTACTATGAGTTAATTTGATTATCCCTATTCGAACATCATGATTCTCACCAATAAACATGGCTGTCAGCCTATCTACATTTTGATTGTTTTGTTTCTTCGCATCGATTTTTTCATCATGTATTCACTAAATAAGCACTTGGTTCAAACCATTATTTGAATGTATTCAATTCTATCAAATGGTTGTTCCATGAATAATTTAAGAAATGTTTCGTTCATTCATTTATTTAGTCGTTAGTTCATTTCAGCGTCAGCACTTAAAGCAACACTGCGTTGTTAACCTGTAAGCAACATCAGCCACATTGTAACTAAATCGATTTCGTCTGTCTCACAGATTAATAAAGTGTTTTTGGATAAACATCACGTCATTTTGCAACTACTCCAACAATCATGTCGTTTTGATTACCTCTCTTTAGTGTATTTATTCGACTTAACTTTCTCCGGGTAGGCTTACACAGCGTTTGTTATTGTGTTCACTGTTAGCGGCTGCATTTTAAACGAAACGAATCATAATATTTGAGATTCGTTTGTTTCATTCTATCTCTTAAAATCCTATTTTACCGCGATGTTTCAAACTTCAAGTGATCGATAAACCCTGACTCTCATGAATGTTGCCGTTAACTGATTTTTCCTATTATTTGTGAAAATAACTTTCATTCAGCTGACATGCATGTTATTTTGAAGTAGGACTTTGACTTAAACAAACTATCTGTAACATGTGTTTAGTAGCTACTTTTATACATTATTTTATTGATTGCATTTTAGGGATCTGAAACATTCTTTGAAGCATTTTTAAGAAAAGCCGAAGGATTTCCGTCGTTCATCGTGGTAATGATGATACAATTAGAAAATAGTTACGTATTGGATCTTACTCCTGTTTGTTCATCAGTCACACCGAGAATACTATATCCTTCACATCCTTATTTAACAGTGGACATTCCATTATCAACTTCAAAAATATATATTCCAAGTAAAACTGTTTCAGATCACATTTTGGTGTTTGAATGTAACTAATTAAATTATCATTCAATCCACTTAGCTCAAATCAACATTTTCTCTTGATTCATATCTGACTATAGTTTGTTATTTGTACTTTGATTAACAATTTTTAAGGAACTAAATTTTTTATTTTGTAAGTTTGTCGTGCCTCCACATAAACTTCAGTTCGCTCATATTTAATTTGATTACGCCTTTCGATTAACTTATGTAACCAAGTTATTTGTATAGCAACAACCCATATGTACCATTGGTATTTTTTATTGTCTGGTTTGTATGAGCTTGTACGATTGAGCATTGTTTACGCCTACGTGCTGACTCATCCTTCTCGCTTTAATGTTAATATCTTAATACCCCTATGAACTCACATGACTTGTATCGCTTACCTTTGACCTTGTCAATCATTCGTCACTTTTATTCATGTCTGTTCATGCCTATCTCATTGGTTCCATATCTGCCTTATTTTTGTCTGACTATATATTCTTAGTCATC